AAAGGATTTCCTTCTAGGGTTAGGGATGAATCCAAGACCTCAATTTATAGAACAGGAAACTAATGCCTAGAAAGGCTCACATGACTGAGCCAGCGTTTGTGGCACTACACAGCCCTCCACTGACAACAAACAGATCCAGTCTTGTATATCCATCCGAAGATCTGACAATAGCTAGAGCCTTACTTTCCCTTGGTCACAGGCCTAGGGTCATCTAGGTAGGTGTTCTATCCACTATAGGTTACTTGCTAAGGAGATAGATAGATAGGTAGATAGGTAGGTAGATAGATAGATGATAGGAAGGAAATGAAATAATCTACTAAATCTCCAGAAGTAACGCTCATCCTGCCAGAGAGAGTTAATTTTCTCTAGCAACTAGTATCAGAGCTCAGAGAACAGACTTTCAACCCACCCCTCTGGGATATCCTCTTACAAGGGAAGGGAAGTACCCAAGAGGTCCTTGTTTTTATCCCAGGTAGGAATTAAAACAAGACATTATGGCTGGTACTCACATCAGAGGAAGATCAAAGCAACCAAGGACTCAAGAAGGTCACACACAAAGACCACTGAAATGGCAAGGGTTGGTGTCAAGTCTGCATAGGGTAAATTGGAGAATGATACTAAAAATTAAACAAGCAGGCCAAGGTATATGCTTATGTACACTTATGTGACTCCAGGGCAACAACTTAGAGAAGTCTGCCTTGGCTTTTTCACAAAAGAACCAGAATAGAGATGGGTAGACTGTAGGAATGATGCTCTGAATTAACCACTCATCTTGCACCTCCTTAGTCAAGGTTATTAACTGAGTTTTCTCTCCAATGATCTGAAGCAGGTATACAGGTAGCAGATGTTTAAAAAAAATACTTTAGTTGAATTCTTAAATAGCTAAGGACCATTCAGGGGAAGTCTGCCTTCGTTCCAATGATCTTCACCAGACTAGAAAACCTGCTGATAGGAAGAGGGGCAAAGTCCAAAAACCTAGATGAAACTATTAATACAGTCATGCTCCACTTAACGGCAGGAATACATTCTGAGAGATGCCTCATTAGGTGATGTTGCAGTTGTGTGAAGACCAGAGTGCCTTACACAAACCTAGATAGTGTAGCCTACTACACACCTAGGCCTTATGGTATAGCCTATTGCTCCAAGGCTACAAACCTGTATAGCATGTTACTATACAAAACAATACAAATTTAAATCAAATACAGGAGAAAATGATGAAAACCAGAGACACAATAAACACGATATGTAGGAGGCTGCTGCCAATGTAACTCAGAATAGTTTTGCAGCTAACTTTTTTATAAGTATAAAGAGTATACTCTAAAATAACAATAAAAAGTATAGTACAGCCATAGCCAGTTTGGCTCAATGGATAGAGCGTCGGCCTGCGGACTGAAAGGTCCCAGGTTTGATTCTGGTCAAGGGCATGTACCTTGGTTGCAGGCACATCCCCAGTAGGAGGTGTGCAGGAGGCAGCTGATCCATGTTTCTCTCTCATCGATGTTTCTAACTCTCAATCACTCTCCCTTCCTCTCTGTCAACAATCAATAAAATATATTTTTTAAAAAAGTGTAGTACAGTAAATACAGAAACTATTAACATAGCCGCTTATTTTCTAGTATTATGTACTGTACATAATTGTATGTGCTATACTTTCATATGACTGGCATCACAGTAGGTTTATTTAACCATCATTACCACTAACACATGAGTAATGTGCTATGTTAGAACAGCTATAAGGTCACTAGGCAGTAGGAATTTTTCAGTTTCATCATAATCTTATGGGGCCACCAACATATATGAACACATATCATTGTTGATTGAGACTAAGTTATGTGGTGCATGACTGTAATAGCTAAGCCCTATATAGCTCTTCCTGTGTGCCAGGCAATGTTCTATAAACTCGACATATGATAATTCATATAATCTCCAAATATAATTCATATAATCCTTACCTACCCAGCGAGGTTAGTAAGAGGCACACAGGCATGTGCGGACAAGGTGTACCATCCCTTCTCCCTCCCTCCCCGCTCACACTGTATCAGCTCATAAAAAGTTCTAGGTTTACATCACAAATATAGACCACTCTGTTCTGGACTATACAAAAACGTTTAAAAGAACTTACATACGAGTCAGACAGAAATGGGTTCAAATCTCCTCTATATTGCTTAAAACAACCACTTTCCAGGGTTGTGAGAATGAAATATTGTGCGAAATGAGGATGTAATATCCAAGAGGGTACATTTTGTGCGCTGCTGTGTCTCCAGAGTCCAGCTCCCTGTGGTGACTCTTTTCCTGTCCTCCGCATGGGGAGGAGGTGGGAGGTAGTACCTCCCAACTCACCCAGACTCCCTCTCGATCTTACTTGCCTAGAAGTACAGGCCCATTTGTTGCCTCCTTGGGGACTGCAAAAGTCGTACCCAGATGTGAGTTTACACCCCCCCCGGTCTAATGCAACTTAGCAAAACCCGGCGAAACCAAAATGTCTTTGACCCGCGCTGTCAGCTCACTTCAGGGCTCAGGGCCAGTTCCTCGGCAGCTGTTACCTCCTCAGACAGGCGGCCTCCCACCACCTGGACTCCTCCATCCCAGGCTTTAACACTGGTGTGTGGAGAAGGGTGCACAACCCTCTACGCCCCCACCCCTCAGGCTGACAGATGAAGTTTGCTGGGGGCCATCAGGGAGAGGTCCAGGGGCAGACCCTGGCCACTCCTCTCGCCACGTGGCTGCAGCAGGCACAAGCCCAGTCCGCGCTGCAGACCAGCTTGGTCAGAGTCGGGACAGAAATGCAAGCTCCCTCCCAGGACTTCAGGACTAAAGGTAGACTCGGCAGGCGGCTTGCTCCCAAGACCACTTACCTGGTCCCGGGAAGAATGCAGGCCTGGCCTGGAAGCCCCGTGAGACTCCGCCCGGGAACCTCCCCTCGCCCCGCCCCCACGCCTCTCCTTTCCGACCAATCACAGGCCAGGCTGCCCGCC